GCTAAACTCTGAACCTAAGTGTATAGCCCTTGAGTTTTGTCAAGTTTTTTTTGCTACCTCAAATTGACTTACAGTTATGGAATTATTTAGTGATCAGTCTCTTTAATTATTGTCTATTATATGCTCAACTGTATAAAAGGAACATTAGGTCATGCAGAAATAAAATTTAAAACAGCATAAATAATTCAGGCATTAAGACTTGAATCTAGATTGATAGGGATTTGAATCTACATGACTTAGGACAGTGTCTGGCAGGCAGGGCCATGTTGTTGATATTATTGTTAGAGTGAAAAAGACATGGTCTCTGGCCTGTATTTACTACCTATTTGGAAGGACACCACTTCAATATTCTTCAGTATTGACTCCTTCCCCTCTACCTTCTCTCAGCTTCCATATCTGCTTCTCAACTCAAGTTTTACTTTCAGCTTTTCTAGTGACTCATTTGGGTCTCTCTCCGGGTGTGACCTAAATGGCGATATGGCCTGGAGTGATTACCCTGGAGGTGGTGACCAGTGGATGGATTTAGGGCATATAGTGAAGGTGAGTTTTTAATAGACTGTGCTCATGAATTACATGGGGTGTGTGAGGGAAAGAGAGATAAAGCTCAGAATTTTGGTATCAAGTGATTATTGAAGACTTTATTAAGTTTGACCAATATTTAATGTAGATTTTGAAAATCGAGAGCATGATTTCATAATGAGATTGTATAATTGGGTGAAATAATTGGTACAACCTCCAATAGATCCCCCTGCAGAAACAATGCAAAGATGGCATCTCAAAACTTGTAGCTGTTATTATTCCTAAAGCTCAGTCCCAAATTTTCTGTTGCTATTATTTGCAGAAGTGGCATGTTTGCTTAAACAAATTTGAAATTAATTTCTGAAGCTATCCAGATGAGCCCCTTTAGAGATGTGGTTCCAATCATTCTGTTGGGTTTCTTTTTTGTTATTGTCATTTGTTTTTCCCTCCAGTGATTAGATGTCTTGCTAATACCACTGATAATAGTAACATTTATTTAACAATAGCAATACCTCTAATTTATTGTGTGACTAGTGTTGTAAGGGGTTTAAACATGTTGACTCTTCACATTTTCTAAATAGACTTTTGAGGTACTATTATTATGAGTGTTTTTAAAAATTTATGTTTTTATTACTGTATTTTAGTTTTATATAATTGTGGGGTTCATTTAGACATATTCATAAAGATATTTAACATAATTTTCTCCATTTTAATCACTGGTACTCCCCCTCCAGTCCCCTCCTTCTTTCCCTGATCTCCTTCCTTGACTCTATTGGTCTTCCTCCTGTTAGTTTATTTTATAATTGGTGTGTTATAACTATACATAAATGTAGAATTCATTGTGATGTAGTTATTATACATGTGCATAGCATAATTTGGCCAATTTCATTCAGCAGTTCCTCCCCTTTCCCATCCCTTCTCTGTCTCCCTTGATCCCCTTCCTCTATTCCACTGTTCTTCCCCTTTTCCCCATGAGATTCCCCTTTTTAAAGTTTCAGTTAGTGCATACGTAACAGTGGGGTTCATTTTCACATACTCCTACATGCACAGAATATAATTTGCTCCACTTAAGTCCCTAGAATTTCCTCTTTCCCTCCCCTTCTTTCCCCCCTGTTCCCCTTCCTCTTCTGGTCTTCTATTTATTGCCTTTTAAAGAAAATTTGTATTTTATAGATGTACATAAAGGTGAAATTCTGTGTGGGATATTTACATGTATGCACAGCAAACTTTGGTCAATTTCATTTGATGGTTCCTCCCTTTTCCCTATCCCTCCTCTTTCCCCCTCAATCCCCTTCCATTTTCATGCAATTTCTTCCCCATTTTTCCTGCTTATTTTTCTGTAGCTTCTGCCTAAGAGGAAAACCTTCAACCTTTGATATTCTGAGTCTGGCTTATTTCAGTTGGCATGATGTTCTCCACTTCCATGCATTTACCAGCAATGTAATTTCATTCTATAAGGCTGAGTAAAACTCCTTTGTTTCTTTATCCATTCATCTGCTGAAATGCACCTGGTATGATTCCATAACTTGGCTACTGTGAATTTTGCTGCTGCAATAAATATTGATGTTTCTGTATTACTATAGTATGCTGATTTTTACTTCTTTTGGATAAATACCAAGAAGTGGGATAGCTGGAACAAATGGTGATTCTATTCCTAGTTTTTTGAGGAATATTATATATATAATATTTATTTATTTCCAGAGTGGTTATACTAATCTGAAGTCCCACCAACGATGTATGAGTATACTTGTTCCCCACATCCTCACCAGTGTTTATCATTATTTGTATTCTTGATGACTGCCATTTTAACTGGAGTGAGATGAAATATCATTGTAGTTTTAATTTGCATTTCCCGGATTGTCAAGGATGTTGAATGATTTTTAATTTATTTGTTGGCCATTTGTTTTTTTCTTCTTTTGGGAAATGTCTGTTCCATTCTTTTACCTATTTATTGATAGGATTATTTGTTTTTCAGTGTTAAGTTCTTTGAGCTCTTTGTATATTCTAGATATTAACCCCCTTTCAGAGGAGTTTCTGGCAAAGATTTTTTCCTATCCTGTGGGCTCTCTTTTCATGCTCTTGTTTCCTTTGCTACTGAGAAGGTTTTTAATTTGGAGCCACCCCACTTACTGATTCTTGATTTTATTTTTTGAGCATTAGGAGTCTTATTCAGGAAGTTGGTGTCCGCACCGATATGTTGGACTGTTGAGATTTTTTTTTATATTGTAGGAGTTGCAAAGTTTCTAGGTCCTTGGTCCACCCTGAATGGATTTTTGTGCAGGGCAAGAGATGAGGATCTAGCTTCATTCTTCCATATAAGGATATCCAGGTTTCCCTGCACCATTTGTTGAAAAGGCATACATTTTCTCCAATGTATGTTTTTGGTACTTTTGTCAAGAATCAGGTAACTATATTTATGTGGATTTATATTTATGTCTTCTATTCTATTCCATGGGTCTTCATGTCTGTTTTGATGCCAATATCATGCTGCTTTTGTTACTACAGCTTTGTAGTATAATTTTCTCTAAAAATTTTAATACTGTATTTCTAGTTCTTTAAAGAATGTCACTGGTATTTTTATGGGGATCACATAGAATCTGTGCATCAATTTTGGTAACGTTACCAATTTGACAATATTAATTCTATCTATCCAAGAACATGAGAGAGATTTCCATTTTCTGAGGCCTTCTTCAGTTTCCTTCTCCAGAGTTCTATAATTTTCATTGTAGAGGTTTTTCACATCCTTGGTTAGATTTATCCCCTAAAATATATTAATAATAAAGTGGACCTCACAGTCATATACAGAATATTTCATTCATCAACAATTAAATTAACTTTTTTATCAGCTCCCCATAGAACATTCTCCATTTAGACTGTATTTTAAGACACAAAGTAAGTCTTAACAAATACAAAAAATTGAAATAATTCCTTGCATCTTACCATAAAACAATGGTATGAAATTGGAAAACCAATAACAAGATAAAAAACAAAAACCATTTAACAAATGAACATTGAATAATATGCTTTTGAATAATGAATGGGTGATAGAAGAAAACAGGGGAGAAATGAAAAATTTTTAGAAACAATTAAAACAAAGATACATATCAAAATCGCTGAGACTTTATGAAGGCAGTTCTAAGAGCAAAATTTATAGCATTGAGTGCTTACATAAAAAAAAGAACCAAAAAGATCCCCAATTGATGATCTAATATTCTAACTCAAGATCTAGAAAAGCAAGAGCAAACTAATTCCAGAACAGAAAATAATAATTAAGATGAGGGCCAAAATTAAGGAAGAGTAGGAAATTAAAGATACAAATAGAAAAAAAATTCAACTTATCTCTGTTTTTTAGATGACATGATCTTATACTTGGATGGCTCAAAAATCTCCACCAGAAGACTTCTAGAGCTGATCAACAAATTCAGCAAATTGGCACTATATAAGATCGATATAAAAAATCAATAGGTTTTCTTTCTTTAATAAGGAAACTGCTCAGAAAAAAATTAAAAAAACAATTCCATTCACAATAACCTCAATAAACCACTTGGGAATAAATTCTCCCTGTTTTAAACTGTGGCACAGAGACATAGTGACCTGTCCAAGGTCACCCAACCAGTTAGTGGAAATGCCAGGATTTCAATGTAGACAGGTCATGACCAGAGATGATTTATTTTCTTTACCACTACAATATCCTACTCCTCTAAATACTTGTATTGTTTCAAAACACCTTTTAAAATTGCTATAACAATCTTGGGACACAGTAAAAATAGGGAACACAATGATTATTTTATTTTATTTTTTTTCAGATGAATACACTTTAAAATAAATAAAATAATTTGGGAGATGAATAAACCCAGACATGGTTATGTTCTTGTCCAGGGGTATAAATAAGGATGAGCATCTTCCTGGATTCTGTGCTTCTTCTCCCAAGCAGGATTCAAGGAAAACAGTGCTCTGAGGAGTGAAGGGGAACTAACTTTTCTTAGACTTCACATAAATCATAGCTGGATGAATGATAGCCTCATTCTTCACTGTACTTCACAACCAAGAAGGCAACAATGTATCACTGTTATCAGACAATCATCTGACAGGATGTCCAGAAGGACTAAACGAGATAATACTTACTCTTTTCAGACTACCTGGCACCTAGTGTTCAGTTAATATAAATGTTATCTGAATCTGGATTGACAGTGGTAAAGAGTGATTTACAGAGGATGGACAAGCTTTCAACCCAAATGAAAATAATAAGTATTTGAAGACAGACATTTTGTCTGAGTTGGGTCTGGAACTAGCAGACATAGTACAAGTTTCTACAGACTGTCAGACAGAGGTCCGAAGATGCCAGTTTCAGATTATTGGGATCCTGGCATGTTCATGTCATTGGGGTGACATTAGAGTACATGAATCATTTCCTGTGCATAAGTAATTTATCCATTTTGCCTTTTTTTTTTTTTTTTTAACCGGTGAAGCACAATTTCAAGATGTCATACCTGGAGAACAGTACTAAGGTGAATGAGTTCAGACTCTTGGGATTGACCGACACCCCAGAGCTGCAAGTTCCCCTCTTCATAATGTTCACCCTCATCTATCTCATTACTCTCACTGGGAACCTGGGGATGATCACATTGATCCTGCTGGACTCCCGTCTCCACACCCCCATGTACTTTTTCCTCAGTCACCTCTCCCTGGTGGACTGCGTTTACTCCTCGGCGGTGACCCCCAAGGTGATGGCTGGGCTTCTCACAGGGGATAAAGTTATCTCCTACAGCGGATGTGCTGCTCAAATGTTCTTCTTTGTGGCTTTTGCCAGCGTGGACTGCCTCCTGCTGGCTGTGATGGCCTATGACCGTCATGCAGCGGTATGTACACCCTTGCATTACAACACCACCATGACGACCAGTGTGTGTGTCCACATGGCTGTGGCCTGCTACCTCTGGGGCTTTGTTGAATCTGCCTCCTACACTGGGTTCACCTTCTCCCTCTCCTTCTGCCGTTCTAATGTGGTCCATCACTTTTTCTGTGATATCCTCCCAATCCTTGCCCTCTCCTGCTCTGATACCTACATAAATGAGACTGTGCTATACATCTTAACAGCCTTCAATGTCTTTTTTGCCCTGGTGGTTATCCTGACCTCCTATCTGTTCATATTCATTGCTATCCTGAGGATGCGCTCAGCAGAAGGACAGAAGAAAGCCTTCTCCACCTGTGCATCTCACCTCATGGCCGTAACCATATTCTACGGAACCATCATCTTCATGTACTTACAGCCCAGTTCTAGCCATTCCATGGACAATGACCAAATGGCCTCTGTCTTCTATACAATAATAGTTCCCATGTTGAACCCAATTGTCTATAGTTTAAGGAATAAAGAGGTTCATAAGGCTTTCAAGAAAGCCGTGGAGAAGATGATGACTCTTTTCCGCACATAATTTTAACTAGGGAGATCATACAATCTGTATGGTTAATCAGTTATCTACTGTTGTGTAACAAAGTGCTCCGAAATTTAGTGGCTTAAAACAATGGCTTATTATTTTTCATGATTCTATGAACAGGGCAGTTTCTTTTCACAGGCTTGCTCATGAGGTTGTGTATGTTCTAGAAGGCCAGCTGAGCTGGAAGGTGCAAGATGGTCTTTTACACATTTCTGGTGTATTGATGCTGGCTACTTGCTAGGTCACCTTAGTTCATGTCTACACACTCTTTTATCTTTCGGAGGCTGGATATACTTTTTTATATGACATTTTCAGGCCAATATTTAAATAGTATGAAGGTAAAACTCAAAGACTTGTTGAAGCCCAAATTCAAAAACTCATACATTTCTTTAGCACACTATAGTGGTCGATGTGAGTCAAAAGTTTGACCCAGATTTGAGTAGGAAGAAAGAGACATCACCTCTTCAGGAAAGGAGATTCAAAGACTTTGTGGCTACAGAGTTAATCCAGCACAGTCAGAAATTAGGTAAACTGTGGTAACAAAAATACAGTGACATAAATCACAAATTATTTCTCAAGTGGCAGTAGCTGACGTAGCAGGGTAAAATGAACTCTCTAGATGGCTATGACCTCTTGCCATGTTTGGATGGAGAATTGAATAGCGTATTGAAATCTTTCTTTATCATAAACACTCGACCTGGAGGAAAGCAGAAGGAGAAAAGATGAAAGAAAAGCAATGTTTTCTCTTTCAAGTGATGTAGTAGCTTTCATGACTCCTGAGCACATTCTATCGTCAAGAATTCATCTATTTGGATGCAACCAGTTGCAAGGCTGACTGCCTTGCTGAAATGCCAATACTCTGGAAGAAAAAGAGGATGAGTTTTTGGAGAAAACTAGTCATCTTCCAAATGATTTGTTCCTGAGTCTGAACCAACGTGTGTTTTTTCCCTTCCTGGAACTTTTTTTCCTAGACCTTGCATTGCTTCTCCAAATAACTTTTTCTTGACCTTTCCATCAAAGATGCTCTCCTAAGTAATCCCTCACCCTCCTCTTTGTCACAAAATTTAAACAAATCTCTGAAATTATATTTCATATTGGCTCAAACACTTAATTTCTATGTCTTGTGAGTCATGTGTAATATTGCATAAATAACCTGGTTGTTTGTGTGTTTGAAAAGCAGAGATTATATAATTTGCTGATGTATTAGCTACAAGTGTGGAAAAATAGTAGCTCAGTTGCCTAAACAACTAGAAAGCCACATGACCACTATGTGAGATTGTGATACTAGAAGGTTTGCTGTGGGAGGAGGACATGAGTCTCCTTTGGGTGCTTTCTTATCTTGAAGTGTCTCTTGGATACTACAGGAGAAGTTTCATACTGCAATGAAGAAATAAATTTGGGAGTTATTAGCATGTAGATGGTATTTAGTGCCATAAGAATTAGTGCTCTCCATGAGGGGACACAGTCAGAGAGGTGGCTCAAGGGCTGAGACCTGAAGAGCTATCTCAGTAAGATGAGGTGGTCTTAAACTTCCATTAAAGAAGAATACTTCAAGCATCCCTATTTTGGTAGAGTCATACTGGAACGAGAACTACAAAAATTTAGGGTGTTGCCTTCACAGTCAGGTGTTACCAACCACCAGACTCAGAATTTTTGAAGGAGCTAGGAACTACAAGTAAAGCAAATTTAAATCTGGAAGGATCATTCAGGATCATCTAATTGGACATCTCACTCCTATAAATGAGAAAAATGTGTTTCCACTGGCCACCGGCTGCTTAGCTGGGGCTCTTTGAGCTCTAAGATACATACCAAGTACATCTTCCAATTTCCCATGGGTGTCCATCCATTATTTTTTTTCTATAAAAATGTCTACTCTGGCATCTCATGTGTCCCAATATACATTCTAAATGATATTGTATTCATTTACCCAGTGATGTTGAGGAATTTGCTTATGGTCATACAACTCTCCAGTGGAAATTTATGAGTAGAACCCAAGTAGCTGGACTGGCTCTTACAATTCCATCTTTGTTGATACATTATTGAATTGAATGGAGGCAATAAGCCTGTCCATTCTCCATTCATTCATTGTGGACCCTAAAATGCATCCAATTACACTGGTCCCCACTTATCCATGGTTTTGCTTTCTATAGTAAGTAGCCTGCAGTCAATCCTAGTTTGAAAATATTGAATGGAAAATTATAGAAGTCAAAACAATCCATGTTTTTTATTGCATGCCATTCTGAATAGCATGATGAAATTGCATGTTGTCCTGCTCCATCTCCCTAAGGACATGGATCATCTGTTTGTCCAACTTAATCATTCTGTATACACTACTTGTTCACTAGTCACTCAGTGGTCTTTGTGGTTTTCAGATCAACTGTTATAGTATCACAGTGCTTGTTCATGTAACCCTTTGTTAATCTAATAATAACCTAAAATACAAGAGTAGTGATGGTGATAAATTTATTACAGTGTATTGTTATAATCATCTTTTTATTACTTACTATTGTTAATCTCTCATTGTGCCCAATTTCTAAATTAAACTTTATGAAAAGTATGCATGTATAGGAAAAAACATAGTATGTATAGAGTTCAGTGGCATCTGTAGTTATCCTTTTATAGTATTTTAAAATAGAATATTAAATTTTCTCTTCTTTACATTTACCACCATACCCATTTTGAGCATGTATAGCGTGCGCGCGTGTGCACACACACACACATATACACACACACACAAAATCTATGACTTAAAATAGGGTTACATTCTGATAAACCTGAGTCAAAAATAGCCTAAGTTGAAATTTTATTTAACATCCTAGTAAACCCATCAAATATCACAAAAATCGCAAATTGAATCATTGTTAAACCACGGACGGTCTGTGTATTTGCATGTGTCTATTTGTCTCTGTAACATAAGCTTAAAGATGGTACAGATCTTCAACTATTTTCTATTCACAAATTCTAGAGGAGGGCTGGCTTATAGTAGACACTTAATGAATGCATACATCTAATGAATTAAATAGATTGCCCAGATTTCTCTGCTGAGGACAAGATTCTATTTAGGTATTTATTTAGAGATAGTCTTGCTATGTTGCCTAGGCTGACCTTAAACTCCTGGCCCCAAGTAATCTTCCTGACTAATTATCCTGAGTAGTTGGCATTACACGTGCATGCCACCTTACCCAGCATGGACCAGACTCTTAGTGATGTCTCCTTTGATATCACCACTTTGCTATTTCAAAGGCATCTCAAATACACCAGTTCAAAAGAACTCTCATTGTGTGTCCTCTTAGCCTTTTTCTCCTGAGTCATTACTGTAAATGACTCAGTGAATGGCAGCAACACCAACCCAATGATACTGAATTATTCTTGAGTGCTTCCTTTTCCATACTTACTGCATTCTGTCCATCAGCATTGTTAGATATGGAAAATGACAAACCCCAAAATATGTGGCCCAGGGAGAAGGAAAGAGAGAGAAAGCAATACATGAATCCTTTCCTAATACATTATTTCCCAGGGACAAGACAGGCTCTGGGAAGGAGATATCCATCAAGTCTGAAATGGCAGCTTCTGTGAAGAGGTCAAAGCATTGATCCCACCCTAAACAAATTCTTTCCCCTCTGCTGACCACTGCCCCACCTCACATCATCCATCTGGCCTAGTAAAGATTAATCCCAGATACTGACCACTGACCCCCACACCCACTGACCTTACACCCTCCATCTGGCTCAGTAAAGATAGCCCAAACTGACATGCTCATTAATGGAGACACCTCTCAGTGTGACCTATACAAGCCTAAACTCCCCCTTTCTCCAGTGGCTCATTTTCCACCAGGAAAGTAGGTCTTTCAGAAGCGTCACTCAGTTCCTGAACAAAAGCTGTGCTGATCCGTGAAGTTTGCATCCGGCCTGGTCCTTTTGTGCTAACAAGCATATTCTTTATATTGTGCCTGCATGTATTCTACTGTCATTAGTGTGTCCTCGTTCTTCATTTTCAGTGCTATGAACCTAGTCCCAGCAACTGTCCCATCACCTGCATCTCTACCATAACCTCCAACAAACTCATCTTTTTGCCTCTTTTGTGTTTTTCTTTTTCAGTATTAAAGATTGGACCTGGGTCTCAAGAATGGTGGACAAGCACTCTACCACTGAGCGATACCCCAGCCCCACCCCTTGCTTTTGTGCTCCAGTACCCATGGCCTTCATCAGTTCAGTGAGCCCCTCAATTTCTTCTACCCAGAAGACTTCTTCTCTTGCTATTCTTCTGCCTGGAAAGCGCTTTTTTGTGGCCCTTGATGTTACCAGCTTAGCTTCATTTTTCAGGTGTCACCTTAAATCCATTGCTGTTGGATTTTACTTTTGTAAACAGTTTTTGCTTTATTCTTTTATCCAAGATTGCTTTGGCTATTCAGGGTAGTTTGAGGTTTCAATCAAATTGTAGATTTGTTTTTTCTGTGTTTGTAAAAATGTCATTAGAATTGTGATAGGGATTGCATTCAATCAGTAGATTCCTTTGGGTAGCATGGGTGTTTCAACAATATGAACTTCTCTAATTCATGTTTAAATACTCAGTATTCAAAAATTCCAATTTACTTGTGTCCTCCTCAATTTTGTCATCAATGTTTTATGGTTTTATAGTTTTCAGTGTATAGATCTTTCACCTCCCGAGTTCAATTTATGCCTAAATATTTTTGTAGCTATTGTAGAAGGGATTATTTTCTGGATTTATTCTTTATGTGGTTTGTTTCTAATGTAGAGAGCTATTATTGCTTTTTGTACATTGACTTTGTATCCTACAGCTTCATTTAATTTATTTATTAATCCTAACATTTTTAATTGGGTCTTTAAAATGATTATGTTATCTGCAAACATGGAAAATGCCATTTCCTTATTTCTCACTCGGATGCCTTTTATATCTTTCTGCTGCTGAATTGCTCTGAGTACCATATTGTTTCCAGTACCATATTGAAAAGAAATGAAAAGCATAGACATCCTCAT